GTGACAACCTTTTATCTGACTTGTGTCTGTATAGTTGGAGGACAGTAGTAGTACTCCTAACAACTCCTTTTCGAAGATATCCTTACAAAAAGGGTGCTGGATATCCTTACAAAAAGGGTGCTGTGTATCAAATAAGATGTGCCTCATCATGGCAAACATCTGCCCATGTCGACTGCTGACTAGTCTCCAGAGTTAGGACATCTTTATCACGAATATGATGTTTGCGCTTTCGCATTGATTCCAGGAAGCACAATTACCTGAGAATATCTGGCTTATCTGCCAGAATAATTTGTTTAAATCTCAGTTCGTCCTTCGTAATAACTGTGTGGCAGATGGACAAATCCTGTGAGAGTCCATCTTGTCAGGCTTCAATTTCTGGGTTCGTGTCCAAACCACAGTGGTACTGTGCATGCTAACGATTTCATACTTGTCTGTCTCTCTACAGCCTGGTAACTCCAGCACCGACCTATCTCGCTCTGTTTTGTACACTGGACCAATTGACCCCGCCCAGTGGGTGGGGCTTCGGAAGACAAACGGAAAACTGCTCGATTACTTGAGGGTGAGGAGTGACATCACAACCAATCTCACTTTAATCAGGCTGCAGCACTGCTAGCATTATCTCTACAGTATAACCAGATTGTGTTAGCTCTGATAATTTAGCATCATGCTAACCTGTCTCTACAGTATAACCTGATGATGTTAGCGCTGTTAGCCTTCGAGGTGACCGTTTACAGACACCAGGAACTCTACCGTCTCCGCCGTAACAAAGTCCCGCCCCCCACCAGAACTCTGTTTCATGATATAACCAGGCGTCACCTGGATGACAGCATTCCGAGCTGCATTAAGTACTTCCTCAACTACTTCTTCTACAAGTTTGGACTAGAGGTGAGTTACACACACATTAACATAAGAAGCTCTTCCTATTTAAAAACCATTCCCATGCTCTTCGTCCTCCTTCTCGTCCTCCTCCTCAGACTTGCTTCCTGTTGGCCGTGAACGTGATTGGTCAGCGAATGGATCTGTTTGCTGTAGGCCACGCCTTTGGCCTCATCGCCATCCTATCACGTCGCAGCAGGAAACGCATCACCTCAGTGTGGCCCATGTACTGCTACTTCCTGTCAGGGCTGTTTTGTTTCCAGTACCTGCTGTGTATCGGGTTCCCTCCTGCTGCCTGTAAAGGTACAAACTCTGTATGTTGAGATTATTTTCTACACAATAAAGTTTAGAAACCATTTTTGCAGACGTTTCATGGCTTTTGTACTGAAAAGATTAAAGGGGATCTTGGAAGATGGATGTTGCTCATGGAGCGAACAGGCTAACAGTTTCACCCTGTTTCAAGTGTTTGTGCTAAGTTAGCTAAATATGTTCGAGCAGCAACAAATCTGGTGTACGTCTTTGGGTTTAAACCAGGAAAATTATGAATAAAGCTGATGATTCAGAAAACAAAATACATAAAACCGGTCAAACCTTTGTGTTGGATTTTCAGATTATCCCTGGAGACCTCCGTCTTCCAACATGGACTCCAATGTAGTGAAGTGGCTCTTCCTCCCTGATCACCTGACACCACCAAACCCACTCTTCCTCCTCTGTAAGATCATCATCATCATCACGATGCACACTTTATTACATCTTCAATATAAATTGACTTGAATTTCCCTCTGGATAAATAAA